TGTTTAGCAAGAGGACAAGTTCCGTAATTATTGTGTTTAGCAAGAGGATAAATTCCTCCTGTTCATCCCCCAAGCTCCTGGCATTTGTGTATAGGCATGCAAGTGTCCCCTTGGGGGCCCTTATCCTGCCTATAGTTCGTATATAGGTATATGCATATACATATGCATATACATATATGCATATACATACACACACACACAGACACACACACCCTGTGTATTCATGCTAACTGAAATGAGATTGAATGAAGGGCAAATCACAGCAAAATTTGAGTATTTTTAAAGAAAATATAAAAGTTTTACCTTTCAGAAAATTAGTAACACATGTAATATGAATGAGGAAAGACTTGAATGTATTTATCATGCTGATAAAATAGAGGGAAAAAAAGAAATGGTATATAAAGAGAAATATGAGTTTATGTTATATTGTGCTTATTTCTTGGCCTGAATGTTTAGTTCCTGTTAAAGTATCATTATTGCATATCCTCTGCTGAGTGTCTGTGTGCATTTTATGACAACTGGAAGCTTCCTCTACATACTTTTTAGTGAAGTTTTCTTTTAATCGTGCTGATCTCCTTAATGGATATGGAGTTGTTTTGGTAGTTTCTATACCTAGAATAGTCTTATTTGAACTTGAATTCCCTTCATTAGCTTCCCTGTCAGAGGAGGTGACATTCCAATAATCAGCAATCACTATGTCATTTTTCTTCTGGTCACCTGCAAGCTGTGGCAAAAAGAAGAATAATTACAAGCTGCTGGTAACCAAACAACTAAAAGAAATGCTGTGCCTCAGATTAGTGCATGCAAATATGGAAGCAAAATGTCTTACAGATGATATGTGCGCATTGAGAAAGATAGTGCCCTGGGGGGGAAAAAAAAGGTTGATTAATCAATAAGTTAGAATTCGACAAATATATGGTCTCTACAGAAGGAGGCTGTCAAGCTAATAGGCTGTGTTGTTCAGGCATAGGAATCAGGCCGCATCTACACATATAGGTAAAGGCATATAATTGGATCCAATGCATGGGACACACATGCATGGCAGGAGGTGTGATTACAGAATTACAAATTAGATCCAATCACACCTTATTGCCAGTGTAGGGTGGGCCTAATTCTGGGCTCTTCCTGCATTGGAAAAAAGCAGGCTCCCACAGCTGGGAACCAACTTTGCTGAGGGGTCTTCCAGCTGCAGAGGCCACATGCAGCCAGGACCGAGTCCTGCACCTGATTGGGCTCTCATCCTGGCTGTGCCTCACACTCTTGGCCCTGGCTGTGTGCGTGGGCTAAGGGGTTTCATGCACTCCCTAAGCTTTAGGGATCATGGAAACTGTGATTCCAGGGCTCAGGGGTTTCAGGCTAGGCATAGTGCACTCCCGCAGCTGGGAGTCCCTTAAGCAAAGGCAGCTTCCAGCTACAGGGGAGACCCTGCTACATATGCAAATTAAAGTTCAATAGCAACCAGCTTTAAAGTAAGTCCACATTTTCAAGGTCTAACTTTATAGCTGGTTGGCACTTTTTAATTTGTGATAGCTACTTTGCACATGTAGCTGGTTTCAAAGGTAATTAATTACTCAATTAACCAGACAATTGCACAATACCTAGTCATCGGGGATTGTCCTAGTCATCGGGGATTCCCTTCTGCGAGGGCTGGAA